CCAAGGGTAAGGTGAATGCACCCGGCAAGTCCTGGCAGCGCAAGGCTCCATTTATCCCATCAGGGCTTGGGTAAGGGGCACTCTTTTGGCAAACCAACTCTTTTGGCTTCGAACCGAAGCTGTGAGTAGAGAGGAGCAGCGTTCTCGCAGCCCAGCTACCAGAGATCACGCAGCAGCACAGCATCTGCCAATTCATTCAGCACTGCTGGCCCATGCAGCAACATGGCACGCCGCTGTTCCATGTTTGGAGACAGTTTATACTGGAATGGAAGCAGTCTTCTTGGGTAAAATGATTATTTTTTTCCTCCATGAGAGCTCATGACTTTTTTAAAGAGAACTCTGCACACTGAAAATTGCCTAAGCACAAGAGGATGGGACGTGCGTCGCAGCTTGTCTGGGCAGCGGAGGTTCCCCGCGATACTTTTGCAGAGGGTGACTTGAAAACAAGGAATAAAACACAGCTGGGGAGGGGCTGGAGCACTCAGAAGCGAAAAGTTACCCATGTGCTTCTGAGATAGGAGTCAGAGTACACCCAAGGAGATGGTCACGCTTTCCTTTCCTTTCCCAGGCAAAGTGCAGCCTCTTTTCTAAAAGCTGAATCCAGATTTTCAGACATCAGAAGAATCATTCCGGTACTGGAGCCTGATCAAGCACAAAAACCATCCTCAGCCTTCGCAAAAATACCAGATGGCTGCAGATGCCAGCTCCTTCGGCCAGGCAGCTTTTTCAGAGAAAAGGCCAGCTTGTTGTGCGAGTGCTGCATCCCAGATAAAACTCTGCTGAGCAGCAAAGAGCCATAGAGAAACCCTTGGAGGAGGAGGAGCAGCGAAGCCAATGCATTCCCGTAACATCGGGTTTTCAAGGCTACGCATACGCTCATATCCAAATATGTTCTCCTTCTCCAGAGGGAAGTGGGACCTACAGAAGTGACTCTGGCTGTGGAACGCGAGTTTCTGAGCAGTCGTGTGCATTTGAAGAAGGCAAAAATGAGCTCCAGTCAGAGTTGCCAAATCATTAGAGAAACAAATTAAAAAAACATGCCTGGGAATATAAGACTAGATAATTCAGTCTCTAAATGGTGGGCTGGTCTTTGAAATATCAAGTGTGAGCTTTTAAACTGGTTAGTGCTCACTGGGTCGCTGGTGCAACATCACCTTCTCCGTCTTCCTACTCTGCTAACTCCCATCCACCTGCAACGGTTTTTGGGGACGCCACTGCAGTTGCAGTGACCCTGTGTTCCTGCGGCACTGCAATGAACAGCAGGCAATAGGATCTCTGGCTCTCTTTAAGGAGATCATCGCGGGTTTGCCTCTGCACAAGACAATATTCTCTCTCTCGGCTGCTCCAGAGAAATGCGCACAAAGAACAAACATGATCTCTTCCATAAATAGGTCAGCGAAAGGATTTATGCACCATTTAAGACTTAAAACTGAACGCGATGCACATACCTTGCGCAACCTTCACAACGGAGGAAATGTCACCCTTCGTGTGGCGACTTCGCTTCTGAAGACCGCTCACCACAAGAAAACAAACCAGCAGCCAATGACCAAACTGGCGTGCACTGGGATTACTTGGTTCTCTGCAACAGCTCATGTTTTCCAACACCTGAACAGGTAACATGGTGTCAGACCGTCCTTGCGTGAGGATCAAGGCTTCCCAGGGTTCATACGACTCCACAACTTTAGGTGCCCGTTGCCAGAAAGCAGGGGGAATGCTTGAGAGCTTACAGTAATCCGATACACACGCTAAAGCCTGGTCAGCCACATGGGCCTTGTAAAAAAACTGGAGGTACAATTAGTTTCTATTAAAAAAAAAGTCTTTTCTTTTGTCTTGGGAGTCCTGAAATGGCTGCGACACAATTAAAACCAACCGAAAAAAGAATGACAATGAGGAGTGGTGAGATGCTCTTTTCTGGGGAGCGTGGGCTGGTAATGTCCTTCTGGAAGAACCTCAGAGAGAGTGGTCACTTTTGATTACTACATAATGTGAGTAATTCTCTGGAAAGACGAGTCCTTCCCGCCTGAATCATAGCAAAGGGGGGAAAAATAACACACTCCAAAAATGGAAAGCTGGACAGCCCTTGGATGCCGGGAGCCGCCCAAGATTCCTGTGCGGGGGCCACCACAGAGAAGCTGCATGGCGCGAGTCCGCTAGCCCTGCACGCTGCTCTGGGGTGACAGCTCCAGCACCGGAGCCAAGCTGGGACCACAACTTACCTACTTAGGTGGCCACCCAGAGCTCTGGTGGCTACTGTAGGTTGTGGGGCACTAACAACACGCTTAACGCCTCTTCCTCGCCCAGAAGCCATACTCTCCAGTCCTTCAACCCATGCATTCACCCTGATGCATGAGATACAGGTGGTTCCTTTGGAGGCTCTGCCTTCTCTGAGAAGTTTGTCCTCAGCGTAGTTCTTGGCCAGCCCATTGCACGAGCACAAGCCGTGGCAGCAGCACGGTACATCTCTGGTGCCAAAAATGGCTTTGTGCTTCCGTCCCAGGGCAGCTGCACTTCTGCAAATCCATGCACGGCCAGAAGTTGAGAGGAACAACTGGGACAGATCCCCAGTGTGGTCGGGGCCATGGACTTTGTCTATGATACTGGGGGAAAAAGGAGCAGCATTGGTATTTGAGAAAGAGGGAGCCTGTTCTTCCCCAAGTCTTCCCGCTGGCTGTACAACAGACCCATCAGCAGTCCTGTGGGTTTTGAAGTTCTACACAGGGTCCCTATGACCAGCGAGACAGCTCACATGCTTCATGTTCCACATCTGCTTAAATGCCTGGCTAAACTGGCATCTAAACAACAACATGAAGGTCCGAGAAACACCTTGAACCCTTACTTCTTTATATAGACATATATGGTTACATTTAAACAGAAGAAATTTTTTTCTTCGTGCTAATCCTCCAGAAAAACAGTTTGGTTTCCATTACTATATATAGTGCTGGGATTCTTGGTCTATTTTTTGTCCCTTTGCATCTCATTATTTTCAGTAGAGTTCAAACTTTTTATGATATGCAGATTTTAACTAGACCATGACTTCTATTCATACAGACTTTCATTATTAATAAACTCACAACGGCTGCATATAACGTAGAAGAATTTTATTCATACCATAATCCTGTCCCATCATCCACTGCAAATATTACAATTATCTTTAAAATGTCATTGAATATCATTTTGTCCCACTTAAAGCATAGGAATCCTAGTGTTAAATGGTTACACTTCTCTTGAGATTGCTTATAACAGAACCATAATTCAAATGTATTTTCCATGAGCTGTAAAGGTTTACAGCAAAGAATCTGTGTTGTGTGTGTGTGCTCGAGTAACTTCTAAACAGTGAGGCTAATACTTGGTGTTTAACAAGAAATGGATCTTGTATATTATGCAAAACACTCACAATTTTTTACCAATACAACAGAAATGCAATAGGTAAAAGAACGTACATGAGTGACTGGTAACCTTTTAAAAATATTTCTTTTAAAAATTGCACAGGAGAATACAAAAACAGTGAAGCAAATCAAAAGTTTTGCAAATGCATATACATTTATCTATATATATATATAATGGGGGCCTGCCTATATAAATGTATGTGATAAAAATTGCAAGGTTGAAAAATGTGAATGGTCATATTTAATAACACGTGCAAGAAGCATAACATAATCATAATAAATAGTAGCAACGAATATACACTGATGGGACCACTGAAAATATGCTGAAACAAATTAAGCACCTCGAAGTGATGAGAGGAGTCTGAAGACAAGAAGCAGTTAGCGCTGTAAAAACCACTGTGGGCAGCTACTGGAATATTGGGCCCTCTTGGTGGGAGTCAATAGGACAGTGCCAAGTGAGTTTTTGTTAATTCCAAAGAAGAAAGCACATTGCATGTCAGTAGGAGTAATTTTAGCCATGTTTTTCGCTAACGCCTCTAGTTTCAAAAGGGAGATTGCTGCCTTATTTCATGGCATGACCTTTGGCATGTAAAGCAAGTTCGTATTTACACAGAAGAATGTTATCATAAAGAAGAAATAGAGTTTTGCCACAACTGAAAAGTGGGCAATGCTATTTAGGGCAGCTGAGATGCAGACCTTTGCTGCTGTTAGCAAAGACAAGTTTGCCTTCAAAGGAAAAGCTTCACGAAGAATAATCTAAATGATCCCATCCTTGAGGGCTGTGCAGCAGATTTGAAGTCTGGATCTGCAAAAAAGCTCCAGTCAAGAGGAGATCCGTGTCTAGGCAGGGCAGCAACAACTGCCAGTGAGGCTGCACGGCCCTGGAGGGACCTGGGCTCTAGGAGCTTCTTGCAAGATCCTGGTGCTTTTTGTTATACACTACGTGTCTTTTGGAGGAGAGGCAGCATTTTGAAGCATGTATTTGGCTTTCAGAAAATCCTAAAAAAGCCTAAAATTTAGTCATATACTAAAAGAAAGGCATTTGAATTTAATTAAGTGGACCTTTATTAAAAACAAACTGCTGTACAAACCCTGATGTACACCTGGCACCATCTCTTCAGCATGTCATATAATATTCAGAGAAGTGGCTGAGAACACTCTGCTGCAGATAAATGTTTCAAAGCTCACTTAATTCAGCAGAGAAGTTCCCGTTGGACTTTTAAGGGATCTAATGCAAACCCTCATTTAAAAAAAGCTGAGGACAAATAACTTAGGTCCTACAGGCTCCACCTGAATTCTTACAAAACATTGTTCCTTGACCTCTTCACCCAGAAGACTGGAGCAGGCTGTTTGGCTTAGCATATCCTACAAAGCAGACCTGAAAGGGCTCGTAACACGGAGGAGTACGGCCCTTATATCTAAGCCACAAACAAAATGACTCAAAAGCTCTACTTTTCGCTGGCTTGCTGGAATGATCAAAATCGTCCTCCAGCCTTCCCTCTTAAACTGCGCAACTGCCACTCACCCCATGGGATTTCAGAAACCTCCAGTCCACAACCAGTGAAAAGACTTTTAAAAGTGACAGGCAGAGGGACATCGCTTGATCAAAGAAGCTTGACGAAAGGTGAATAAGACCAACTTCAAAGATAATAAGGGAAATAGAAATTCGTATGAATTTCAAATAGTTAAAAACACAGTTTTAAGCTATATGATCTAACAATAGGTAAAAATCTTGCCTGCAAGCCAAGAGCCTAATCTTCCCCAAAGCTAGTCTTATCCAAACAGTTGTCTTCCTACTTAGATGATACATGAGATTTGAACTGACATCCAGTACGTGACGTAAACAGAAAAAATACACATAAAATGCACATCTTCTATTTTTTTCTTCATAAAGCTATGGAGCTGCACAGAGCAAATTTAAGTGCACAAGGTCACACAAAGGCAGCTTTCCAGGAGGAATCATTTAGACGGTGAGCGAAATGAAACTGTTGTATCTCTGAATGTTTCTCTTGAGGATTTCGGAACAAGGACCGAGCACTCGTTCGAAGCGGGGCCGATCCAGCTTCACACACTTCAGGGGTCCGCGTGCCACCACCGTAGCAGCTCGGGGACGATTGAGCAGTAACGCTATCTCACCTGGAAATAGGGATAAATACGCTGTCACACACCCTGTGCCTCTTTTTCAGAGGGTGCATACTCTAGCCACCATCCAGTTGCTTTGGGTGTAGAGCATCTCCCTTTTATATATCTCTTGATAGACACTTTACATAATTCTGTTGACACTACAAATGCATTACACATGCATAATGCATGCATGTAAAATGCCTTTGGAAACAAATGCTTTCAGACTGTTTTGCTGATTCTGGATCTGTCTCCTGTCAGCTACACTGGTCTAAACCAAGGAATGGTTTCAGCTTCACTGAAATCTGTTGGTATCACTGAAAGCAGCAGCTGACCTATGCATAACCCCTTGCTTGTAAAAGAGTAGAACACTAATTAACACAATAACTACTTGATACAACTCCATGTCCCTGCCTTTCTGAACCATACTTAAGCTGAATTTTCTTACCAAAATAATCTGATGGACCAAGTCTTCCAACTTCGACGTACTCCTCGTTGTCGGACCTGCGCTGCAGAACAGAAGCTGTGCCCTGGGAAGAGAAGTGCAGAAAGTCAGTTGGCTTTGCTTAAACGTGTTAACGCTTTAAAAAGTATCGAGTCCTGAGTATTTCCTTTCGCATGTCACACTCCTTCAGTTCTGCTGTAGGAGAGATGACAATTTCAGTCAATTCCTTATATATGAATGAAGGGAATTAAAAGATTAAAAAAAAATAATCCATCAGTATGGCAAATGATTTCTCTCTTATGAGATGTTTGGATGCAGACAGATTCAGCTCGCACAGAAGACAGGAGGAATAGGACAGAACTCAGTAACTCCTGTTTAACTAATGTACATCATGCTGTGCAAATGTATGCTTTAATATAATTTAAAAATATGTTCTGGGTGGATGCATAACCTTACAGAGACACAGAAAAGATTTACATCAAAAGGAATAAAAAGGCAATTTTCCCAGTCACAATCTTGTGACGTGATTTTGTAAGACAGCAACTGGACTTTATTCCTCACCTGATCATTCACTGGATCTATTGCTGAAATGGTTGGTAAAGGGAGTTTTTAATGCTTGTTGTAACAAAGGGTGATTTTTTTTTTTTAGTGGCTTTGCCCGCTTGTGGCCTGTAGTGATCTGGACACCTGCGAGTCAGTTGCTGGAGAGATGGAATGCGTCTTGTCTCCACTACTCTTAATAACTACTGTACTTGACACGTGCTAATACATGTCAAAACTCAGTTACAGCCTATTTAAACCTTCAAAGAGGTTTTACATGCAGAAATATTCTAACCTGGAGGAAATCTTAAATTATAGTGGCATAAAGCTTTTGTAGAGGAATAGAGAAGGTATCTGCTTTTCTGGAAAAAAATTACAGTAACATATGAAATTATCTTCTGAGTCCAAACCAAAAGCATGGGGAAAGGCAAAATGTTAACATATTTTGATTTTAACTGAAATTAAAAAGATTTTTAAACGCCAAGATTTTTAAATAGACCGGAGAGCCGTTTTTTGACAGTGCAGTTGGAGAGCATCGATGTTTCAGTGGTTTTTTAAGATTTTCAGCTTGGAAAGTAAGAAGTGAGGGCTTACAACCAGGACAGGGAAGGGGAGGAGACACAGTAATGTGGACTATGCTCGGAAGGTTGATGCCAGTTACTGGAAAATACCACAGCCCTCACTCTGCAGCTGAACACCCAAGTCTTGCATTGTAACCAGCTGCAGGACCACCCCAGCTTGGAGCACAAACCTCCCTCCAGTGCAGAATATTCAGTGCAGATTCCCTGGCTGCTAATATCCTGCACCTTCCTTCCACCAAAAGAAACTTGTGTGCCTCCAGGTATGGTGAGGGGCTTGAGGAGACACTGAGCACCCTGAAACACCATGGCTTCAATGCAGTTAAAGGCACTCAGCACCCTGCAGAACCAGCCCTTCACCTTTGCAATATGTTTAAATACACCCTATAGTATCCCAAACATCGTCACTGAATTGCAAATCTGAACAGTAATGTAAGGCTGCTTCAGGTCTGGCTTTTGCTCTTCTAGGACCTGGGGGCCCAGGAATAACCAAGAGCGGTAAATATCCACTATTATGTAGCAAATGATCATAATTTGCTTTCTTCTGAACAAGCAAAACTAAGCTGCTGTAATACCGTTTTATTGCATCATGTCCTATTTCATAACAGGGTTATTTTTAAGCCCATCTACTTTACAAATTGCTGGGTGACTCTAGGTTAATTTATGTGCTATATAAATGAAGAGGTAAATCTTATTTCTGCTGATGCCAGGAAAGAGAAACAAAAACTAAATAATGTGCAAGTATTGTTTGATACATGCTAAGCAGCTGATGATTTTTATACAGATTTGGATGTATATCAAATTAATCTGGCACATTAAAAGTTATAATTTCTCATTATGCCCATTAGCAGTAACCTGTGCTTAGCATAAATCCCTAGATATCACACTGTCAACACATTACATTGGTCACGACAATTTACCGTTCCACCCTATCAGCTACATGCCGTATCAGTATTACAAGAATACTGAAGAAACACCAGGGCTGTAAATCCAGGTCCATTTGAAAACAATCACAAAACTTTTCTCCGCTTCAATTCTTTCACTCCTAATATGCCAGGCAGCTGATGGCAGAAGATACAGAACCATGTGCTTGGCATAACATGCATGAGCAAGGGCACCTGAACTGGGTAAGGCTGTTCAAAAATAAGCCAAACATAGAGGGCAAGGTTGGCTTTGGTCTTTTGTGGGGTTTGTTTGGGGTTTTATCTACCATTAAAACATGCCATGCACACAAAACTGTCCACAGGAAGTGTAAGGCTATCCGGAGAAGTAACTGGAAGAACCGGATATAAGAAAGTGATTTGGTGCCTGTCAAGTTTCCAGCAAAAATTCCTTATCCTTGATATAACTAAACTGTTCCGCCAAAGCTGCTGTTTTCCAAGATCTTCCAGTAAATCTGCAAGGGCATGAAAATGCAAAGATAGTGTAATGAGTTTTGTTATTCACACTTACTGCAAGTTTTCAGAACAAACACACATTCATAAGCGGCATTCTTGGAAATACCCCATACAGGGAATAATGCGTGTATCAACCTCTCTCTTGCCAAATTTCAGATCAGGTGCAGCTCACTAAACTGATGCTGTTCTTATTGCCTGCACAGTGTAGATGGATTCAGCTTCAGAATCACTTCCAGCCCCTGTCCTCCTCTCCATCACCATCTGGAGCCTGGCAAAAACCTAACCCCTTGACCCAAATAGCTGTCTGCAATCCATGTCTCCAGTCTCTTTCCCAAAACTAATTTTTTTTTAAAAACTTTTATTACAGATGTTTTATTACATAAAACAAAACAAAAAAAACCCCACAGTACTCATATTGACCGCCCAGGTCAAACGAAGAAAGGACTCAATTCCCCGCTGCCCACCTCGAGCATGTTGCCGTAAAGGTAATCACAATGTCAAGCAATATTGTTTTTGTCTCCCCAAGTGTCAGCTTTTATTGTGGCTAATATTTTTTTGACAGGGTCCATATGATATAGGACTCCAATAAGTCAGTCTTCTGAAGCAATTTCTTCCACTGTTCCACTACAGTCAGCCTTTTTAATCCAAGAAACACCATGATATCTGTTGGAGGAGGACAGATGTGTCTGGCCTCCACAATAAACACTTGGCTTGGCAGGATAAAGCAATGCATATTCCAGATACATATTTTTCCACTCTTGTTTTAACAGTCACATAGGCTTTTCCCGTTGCCCAGTGAGAACAGGTCTATCACGGAGCAAAAGAAGTTTCCTGAAACCCTGACAGTGAGCACCCAGATGTAAGATCTGATTACACTGCTTGCCCTCTCGTTGCACCAGTCACCAGCTCCACAAGTACATCCTGGAGCATTGTCAGAGTGACCTTCACGGGAAGACTGTCCACACCATGAAACAAAGAAGATGTATTTATAATTATCTGTCTTATTACCTTCACTTTGCGTGTCTTATCTCTGGAAGCAACGCGATTCTGACTCTATTAGAGTCCACTTGTAGATGACCAGTGTAACCAGGGCAAAAATAATACAGAAATAAAATAATCCAGAATAAAATAAAATAATACAGAATAAAATACTACAGAAACAATCCTTTATTACCCATATCCTTAAAGAAGTTGTCATACTAAACGAATTCGGTGCTGACCCCTACCCTTGCTCCCACCACAGGTTTCATGGCTGTATTTCATTTTACTTTTATTTGCCAAATCTTTCCAACGCAGTTTTTGAGCTTTCTATCCTTCTGCTTTAGCAAACCCTACCTCCTATAAATGATATGACTGAATAAATCTCCCGAGCCCTGTCCCGGGAGGTAAGGGCATTATCTAGCAAGGATTCAAGAGGCTTATCACTCTCACTCCCAAAAGCATTTGGTCTCGGTGGGAAAGATTTGCCCTTAAATGGCACACAAAACTTGGCAAGATCAGTCTCTCTGAAATAAACTGCACAATCCTAGATTTGCAGGATCAGGCTATTTAGTGCTGCTCAATTTAAAATACTGCCTTGTACACTGATAGCCATTTCAGCCTCCTACACCACCACGCAAAACCTACAGAGCACAGGCTCAAAGACTGTCAAGAAGTTTGACACCATTTAATAAATCAGCACTTTGTGATGATATTAAATTGAAGGCAGACAGGCATGTCTTTCTGCTAGCAGACACTTGGGAGTGAAATTATGATCTTTGGTGGATCCAGCAATATTCCCTTTCAGTCACTGGGGAGTGCCTGTATTCCCAGGAACCGATATCATTAACCTTCTCTCCTCTCCTCCAAGTAAATACAGGCTTCTTATTGCAAAAACAACAAGAGTAGCAGTTCCAAAAGCAATGTGCCATCACCACCTCTCTGCCATCCTCACCCTACGCACCTGCTCACTCCCTCTATCACTGCTCTGTCACGGTGCTGAGAATATTTATTCAACTCTTTCAAATGCATCAGCAGTTTGTTTTGTAAAAATTTATGGCTTTGATACGGTACCATAATTTAAGATATAAAAAATAAATTAAGGTTTATAATCCATGAGCTCCCATCCTCTCCAAAGTAATGAGATTTTGATAGATGTTTCACTTTTAAACTATCGGACCATATGGATGAGTGAGACATCCTACAGAGTAAAGACAGTGACCCATCTGGATCAACACTGAGATTCCCAGGCCTTATCCTGCATGTACTTACAAGCACCGATTGCTTCAGGAGCCCTATTTTTATATTTAAATATGAATCCTATAGCCAGCAGTTGGCCTAAGTAGCCTGGCTACAAAAGGCAAGTGTTCATGATGCTAAAAACTGAAATCCTGTATTTTTTCCTTTATTCCAGCTCAGCGGATCGGATGGGATCATTCCTGGACAGCACAAGGCAAAATGTGGTGGATAGTGATGTGTCCGTGTTACCTCTGGGTGGGACGGGCTGTGCACTATGGTCCTTCACCAGGGGCAGTGGGTGGGAAGGGAAATTCAGCACTGTTTTAAACACTTTTTGCCTTAAAAGTCAATCT